ATATATATATATCTGTTTAAACAAGAAGCTTTCGGAAAGAATCATGAGCGTCTCTTGGCCTCGATCGTCTTTTGCCTCTCCGCCAAGAGACGATGCCACTCACCTAGGCGGCCGTCGTGTCTGCAGCGATATGGTGTCGCTGTCTCAGGCCCAAGAGATTCACTGGTGTCATGGGATGTGAAAGGTCGAAAGAGATCTGAAAAAGACATGCAATATGTTGGACCTGTATTCCTTTTCTATTTTCTTTCTACATGGCCTCCAAGCTAGAAGCAATGGCCTTCAACCTAATAGCGATGAAAATATATGTACATATACTAGATGTATATAAGTAAGTTACTTAGGCCCTCCGAGTAGGGTAAGCTTGACTGCATGTCAAATCAAGCAAAAGAATCATCGGCCTGCCACCCGCTGTATGTCTGCATCGAGTCTCTCACACCTGAGATAGGAACACGATGATAATAAATTTAGGCATCAATGATTACAGTCATGTCACTTTCACACAGGCCAAAGCCTTCATGCCTTCGTGATTCAATCTTATTGTAGCCACCCTGGAAGCCTGAGCACCCTGCTCTTGTTCCAAGTGTTGCCTTCCAAACCTCACCTCTGAGGCCATCTTCACCTACAAAATCCACAAGGCCACAAAGCCCACAAGAGAATGTGTTTGTGCGAATCAAAATCCTTTCTGGTGCCTCCAGCACAGGCTCTTCTGCGTGCAAAGGCTCTTCCAAGACAGGGGAGTTTGGCCGAGCCTGCGTGCTCAACTCGCGCTGCAAAGGCGTGTGGCATAACTCGTCCCTTCATAACTCGTCTGCCAATAGCGCTGGGGTCACTGGGTCATGAAAAAATCAGCAGCAACATGCTGCCGCTCAAAATGAGGGTGGGACCGTTTAGGCTACCTTTCGGGCTATAGCAACATGAGAGCTTTCAACCCGAAGTGTACCCTGAAATGTGTATACATGTACATCGTCGATAAAAATCAGTGAGACTTCCACAAACACAGAAAGCTGAGCTTTCACTCTCTTGAATTATGCAATGGCTTACTAGGGAAGCGTGTTGCTCAGGTTTCAGCCAAATCCCAGCAACCCTGGACACTCTCCACCTCTTCACCAAATGTCATCACTGATTTTGGCGGTTGCTCATATGAAACCCAGAAAACCTCTGAACGGCAATCCAATGATTCAATGTCACAAGTTCTATTCGCATACCGTCAGCCTCAGTGCCATCTTCAACACCGAATGGCACCTTGCAGGCACGTTGCCCAAGCTCTCCAAACAATGTTGATAGGAAGGAAAGTGGAAACCTTGCAATATTCGATGATGTATTTTTGTGCCATGCTTCACACATCCGTGATTCACCCAATCCACGAACTTCCTCATGACTGCATTGCCTCCAGGTCTTGCTCCTTGCTGGGATCCTGTGCAAAAGTTCGAGGCAGCACAGCAATACGTTCGAGACAGTTTTACTCAAGCCATTGTTAGCTGTGTGTGTGTGTGTCAACCCCTGTTTCCAAGGGTTCCACCTTACAATTTCCATTGTTCACGCAGGGGGGCAGCGGTCCTTTCAGCAGTCACTGCCTAACAAAGACACTGCTGATCGGATGTGGCATGACTCTGGGACGCCGGAGTCGCGTACCTGCATTTTCCAAACTGTTCACAAGCTGTCCAATGCGTTGTTTCCTGCAGCTGAGCCGCGTCGACATTCGCCACCGCAGACATGTCAACAGTTTGTTCAAACAATACAAGTGCGCTGACCCTTTCACCTTGCGTTTCCCTCACCTTCCTTCTCAACGTGGGAATTGAATTAACAGCAAACCAATGTCAGAGTGTGTGTGTGTGTGTGTATGTTCCTTTTTCTTTTTCGATAAAGTCGTTCGACAGTTTCGTCTTTTTGGATATCATTACCATCAGGTTGGAGGCCACCGCTCTTAGGTTGGAGGCCATTGCAATTAGGTTGGAGACCATTGCAATTAGGTTGGAGGCCATCGCTTCTAGGTTGGAGTCCATCGCTTCTAGGTTGGAAGCCATTGCAATTTAGGTTGGAGGCCATCGCTTCTAGGTTGAAGGCCA